TGTACAGACGGTAGGTATATGTGATAGCACAGGTGAGAGTAGACGAGTACAGGTAAGAAATGTGTGAGGTAGGTATATGTGATAGCACAGGTGAGAGGAGACGAGTACAGGTAAGAAATGTGTGAGGTAGGTATATGTGATAGCACAGGTGAAAGGAGACGAGCACAGGTAAGAAATGTGTGAGGTAGGTATATGTGATAGCACAGGTGAGAGGAGACGAGCACAGGTAAGAAATGAGTGAGGTAGGTATATGTGATAGCACAGGTAAGAGGAAGCAAATACCGGTAAGAAGCGTGTCAATTGGATGAATAATTGATTAATATGTATTTATATTTTTTTAACTGGTGTGTATTATAGTAGAGTAGTAGTAGTTGTTGTATTATGTTTGAGAACAGCTAACTAAACAGATAATACCAACAGGTAACTGTTATCAAACAGTATCACAGATTAAACAACTGAATCACATCTCGTTTGCAAAGGCAATTGGCTATTTATAATCACAGATTGAACGTGCCACATTTACTACAAACGTCTTTGATACCAACCTGCCGTTTTATTGCCACGAATACACAGGGTGGCGTCCCCTGGTGGATTTTACCAATGCAGTAGTAAGAGATGTTCTTCGCTTCTGGCAGTTTCACCCAGTCTACATTCACGCCCTCTAGTGCCAGCACCGGCACCAATCGTAGTTGACGCTGCTTGCCTGCAGATTAAAAACGTCATGTTTAAGTATTAAGTAACATGGATGTAAAAGTTTTTAAGTTAGTAGCAATCGATGATCTCGTGAAATAAAGAAAACAAAAGAAATTGCTATGACAATATGAAAGTGATACAATACAAGAGCATTCGACGCGAATGACATGTGACGTCATTTCGTATATCTGTAATGATTTGTTGTTCACTACATCCACACCTATAACACGAGAATTCGGGAATAAACGTAGAGGTAAATAAGTATCACAGGAAGATCTGAAATCAGGAATGCGTGGGGTGCAACGTATTAGCTAGCGAGCCGTGCAGCCGTGATTTGCACGGTGAGTTTTGAAACTGCACAACCTAAAAAATTAAAAAACTCACCCCCCCCCCCGTGAACGCATACGGCATTCAGGAAGACCGCCTACGACGGTCT